GTTTGAAACTTTTATCATTTACTTATTATGCTTCATTAAGTACTTATACAAAATTTTATTAAAATAAAACCATTTAAACTGGGTGTTCGGATGTATATGTCACTTAGTATATATCAGCAAAAACTATATACATATGTTAGATATTATTTATTTTGATAATGTATCTTTATACGAAACAAGAACAGGAATACAGGGCTGTACATATTTACGTGTAGTGCAGAAGCTCTGTAACTCAAACGAATTCCAATATAGCAACATAAATAGAAACATACGCGGGAAGAAATGCGGGACATGTGGTATTGACTTTAAGCATCGATCGACGCATTTTATGGACAGGCGCACCGCTAAGCAAATCTCAAATATATATTTCCAATGTAGGCGTTCATTTAACATATAGTCTAATCATATTAGCAAATTTCCCCGAAATAATTGCAAAGTCCGGTTTTATTGTTGCAAGTTGTTCAAGGACGCATTTTAAACATGGACGCATAAAATGGTTACACCAATTTTTGTGGGAAAACTTTATTTGACAACAAAGAAAACGTGTTTTTCGGATTCAATCGAAAGTGTTGACAGGAACGTAAAAACTGTTTTGGTAAGATTTTTAGGTATTTTTGAGACCTACAGAATGAGACCGCACGTGAAACGATCCGACTAATAGCAAAAATGTTATGGCCAAAAAACCAGGCAAAATGCAGGTTTTGGCACTTGTTGGTAATGCGACGATAATTTTACGCAACTACTTGAAATTCTTCAAATCCGCAGGATTCATACTTCTGAATAACAATAACAAAATTGGAGTAACGTATAATGGTCAAGTAGTTTTTTGAGAATTACTAATTGTTTATTCCGGACATCACAACTAGTTTATTGAGCTTTATACAGGATTAGTTCAAAGAGCATTTTACAGCAAAATACACTAATTAACCCTGCCGATATGAATTACAAACCATTCCAAAAGATAAATGTTATTTTTATCCGAAAAACAAAGGTTAGGTTTTTTCTTCAAAGCAAATTCAAACATTTCGTGTTTGTGAGTAATTGGGCAAATGCGCTACGATATTTGAAATACATACGTTACTATACACATTTTAAAATTCAAACATTTCGTATTTGTGAGTAATTGAGCAAATGCGCTACGATATTCGAAATACATACGTTACTATACACATTTTAAAACAAAGTGGATGTGTCTATCATCTTTTGTTGCGAGTTACTCACAAACACGGCACCCAATGGGTGTTTTGGACTTAGGCCTTTGTGGTAGTTGGAGTATAAAAAAAACACGAAATGTTTGAATTTGCTTAGAAGAAAAACGTAACCCATCCTTTTTGCATAAAAATAACATTTATCTTCCGGAATAGTTTTCGAATCATATCGGCAAGATAAACTAGTGTATTTATTTTACTATAAAATACCATTTGAACTAACTCTTGTATGTTGCTAAAAAAAAACTAGTAGTGATGGCCGGAAAACAGATGTCTTGGGATAAACAATTAGAAATTTTCACAAACTACTTGACCAATCTACTCCAATTTTGTTGTGGTTATTTAGAAGTACCAATCCTACGAATTTGAAGAATTTCAAATATTTGCGAGAAACCATCGCTTTCAGCGATACATTTTTTGCTATTAGTCGGATCTTTTTACGTGTGGTCTCATTTTGTAGGTCTCATAAATACTTAAAAATCTTATAAATAATTGGTGCACCCATTTTATGCGTCCATGTTTTGAATACCCCCTTGAGCAACTTGCATTAATAAAACCAAACTTTAGAATTATTTCGCAAACCAGGGGTATCTTCGTCTAATATGATTAGACTAATACTGCTTCGCTGAAACACCAACCCCGAACAAAATCAGTCAAACATAAATCACTTTTTAAGTGCAATCTGTATAGCTAATATATTGCTTAGACTTGGATTTGTCACAAGTCACAATGCTGGTATATACGTATAAAGGTTGATTCTCACTATACGTTCCGTTTCCATTCCATATCAGTTTCGTAAACGTTCAGTACAATTTGATTGTATACACAGTATAGCTTACGGATAATGTGCATACACACGCAATAGCCTGCTTTAAGCGAAGGCGAATATTTAATTTCAAAAATTTACGTAACGGTTACGGAATGGAAACGGAATGTATAGTGAGAATCAACCTTTAATCGTAAGAATTGTGCTGTAAACGTAAGTGATGTCGAAGAGGGACAGCGTTTGGAATACCAAAGGATACCAAAAATCGCAATGCTCAGTTCCTGTGGCTATAACTTATAGTTAGTATGCCTCTGTCGCCATGATGTATCAAAAAGCCACACAATGGTGTTAGATTACAAAAGCAAGTGTCAGACGTCTAGGGGAGGGCGCGCGCCCGCCCTTCCTCTAAATCCGCCACTAATTGGGTGATATATTCAATTACTTCAATAAATGCAACACATTCTGTACATTGTGGATACATCTTCAAGCATTCCTATGTTTTAGATCAAAGATCGACAAAACATAAACACAAAAATATGTTAACGCCTTTTAATTTTTAATATATTCCCGTTTTGACTTATCCTGTGTTATGCAAAAACATGATCTGTGGACAAATAAAATATCTATCTATCTTGAACCGTACGCCCTTGGCACGAAAGTTGGTATACTAACAGTGACAAGCATAAATGTGGAAGATTCTTGGGTTGACGAGAAAACCTTCAAGTAGGTGAGACAAAACTAAAAATCGTATGTCTGTGAGATTACATAAACATACGTCCGCGCATAGAAGAAGGCGATTACATATTATGTGGGAGGGATCGATAAAAGTAATTTCTGTAGTTTTACTGTGATCAGTTAAAAGCATGAAAACGTCTAAAATAAATATTTTATAGGAGTTCCAAAAATAGTCTATTGTAAAATATTATGCCATCACTTAGAACAAAAGCGACTGTTGACCAGAAGCTCCAAATAAGTTGACACTTCGTACGGTCTGAAGCATACCGTTGGTCCAGTCGGTAGCTTGTAACTGCTATTTGCTACTCATTTACATTGTTTTGAGAAGATAATAATAATAAATCTACATTTTGCGATTCTAAGTACTGTGTAGGGTACCTAAACATAATGTTTAAGTCTTTTTTGTCGATAAATCATGTTATTTTTGAAAATCTTAATCACTCTGTGTTTTCAATTGAAGTCATTTGCTTTCGCGTACATGTTTAGCAAGATTGATAAGCTTCAGTACAGTTAGAGGTGTTTCTGTTGGTTAATCCGTGTAACATAGCAAAACCGATTAGATGATTACTCCTCCTAGCTGTTTTAGGTAGTTTCCATCGTCGTGTAAGGAACAGGTGTCTCTAAATGACGTGCTATATAAACGGGGTCTTTAGCGTTAGAGCCCTCCTTCACCGGGACTAACTCGAAGAATGTTAAGGCTTTTTATACATATACCATTACTGTAAGCCGTAATCGCAAACTTGTCTTTAGAATATTTTGACAAAGAATCCGTTCTGAAACTGATTTATATGATTTTATCAATGTAATATAACTTGTCGTAATTTGATTTTAAATAAAACGTGGAATATTCGCACCATTGTAAAGAAAGAAAGTGATTTAAAGTGACATACTTCTACAGGATTATTATTAAAAATATTCAAACGGCAAGTATCTGCAAAGTAATGAGTGGGTATTAAATTAATATTATTGGAATCACAGGTTGTCATTCAAGAAAATGTCCCCTAGGGGGCACTAAAGGGGATGTGATATATATGTTATTAATTTTCTCAGATCCATTCATCAATGATATGCAATACAAACAATAAATATTTACCTTTAAATGACGATGGCAAGATGTTATCAAAATAAGTGATTGTTTATTCTAGCTTTCATTTGATTAAATCATTTGTTTATTTGTTTAATTGTATTCATCTATTTTATTTTACCTGAGTATTATTCATAAACATTTCACTAAACAAAATAGCATTAAATCATAACTAAATTTAAACCTTCATTAATGAATTCCGCAGATCCACACAAAATTTCCGACAGGGTGCCGGGGAGCTGCCACATGCTTAATAGGTTATTTTCGCTAGGGATGCTGTCGACGTTGCCATCGTCCCGGTGAGGGATTCCTTTTAAGGACTTTTAGTGCAAATTGCACTAACGGCAATCCTATACTTGTGTCCACGTGAGCGCAATGTAAACGGCGACATTCTATGTGACTTCCAAATGGCTTGGTGTCAGACCACTCCATATTCCAGGTGCTCTGTTTCTATATTACTATCCCCACCCGATCAACGCTCGGTTCCCAATTTTGAAGTAATTGATTATTCAGTGTATATTCTTGAACAGTTGTTGCTGAGCTGACTTCTCCACATCAAGAATGTAAGGCGTATTTTGGTAAGAGACCTTGAATTGCACCAGTATAAAATTCGACCAGTGCAGGAAATGAAACCGCAGGTCCACCATCTACGTCATGCGTTTGCCGAAATAATGTTAGACCGCTCTCCAAGTTTGGACAAAATTCTCTTCTCTGATGAAGCTCATTTTCATTTCAGTGGATTTGTCAACAAGCAAAATTACCGGTATTGGGCCGCAGAAAATCCCAAATTAAAACACCAACGACCTTTGCATTCCCGTTATATTACGGTTGGGGCGGCCATGCCGGCTGAAGGAATCATCGCACCCTATTTCTTCGAAAACGAGCAAGGCCAGACTGTAACAGTAAATTCTCTACGTAACTTTTTCTTTCCACAGATCTCACGCCGCTGGATTTTTTCTCTGGGGATACCTCAAGATGATTTTTTAAAATTCGCTCAACTTAATGGCCCACCCCGTATTAAAAAAAATGTCATAATGGAACTATTGTGAATGGGAGCTTAACTCGGCGGCCATGATATCGAGCTACAGCGTAAGTGAATTTGTTATCCAAACTTGATGAATGGGAGTACCGTCCCTGATCTTGAACTTGACAGAATTTGCCGGCAGTGACTCAACTAGTTATTTTTTCCTCACATCACAAAAGCCATTGAGCGCCAGCGCCAAATGTCTTCTCGTCTTTTCGCGGGTAAGTCAGCGTCAGTCAAAGCCCACTGCGCTCTATTTCCTTCACTTTCCACTTCCACCGCCACCGCTACCGGCCTCCACCGCGCCGCGTCGTGCGACCGTGTTTTGTTTCGCGAAAACGGCCCACCAAGATCGCGCGCGCCAAATTCGAAATCACGCTCTGCATTTGTTTACACTCAACGACGCGGCAACGTCAATTCTCATAGCTTGCTTGATAATATATCTAATGAGATATACGATTTCCTAGGGGCTCTTATCTAGTTGTGTTTCCGCGAGTGACACTCTAGTCCCGCTGTGTTTCTCGCTATGAAATAAAATGTTAAACTGGCGAAACATTAGTCCGCTATGATTCCTGCTCTGACAGGCAGTTTTTTTCTTGACCATGTATTTGTGAATATGGAAGTGAAATAAGGGAGTGGTGATAGTGCAATAGTAGCAACATGATTTCCAGCGAAGTGAACAATAAAGATAATAAGGAGTTGATTCCTTGGCAAGGACTTGCTTTGACGTGTGTGAGGATTCTCCAGCTGTATTGCCGAGTTTTTGATGAAGATCTCCATGATCTTCTGTGTATAAAAGAGTAGGTGTTTCACTAATTATATTTACGTTATAGGAACTGTTTGAAAATTCCGAACCCATTCAGGAAACGTATAAAATAACTTGTTATCCAGTGGTTCGCACATTGTTATGAAACTAATTTTGTGTATAATTCCTAAAAGTTACAAGGGAGAAAATGTATAAAGCTTGTGATTGTCCCTTTGGCTTGTCAAACAAGGTTTTCCTTAAGTTGATACGATCGGTTTGACTGGTGACAAAACTATACGGTGTTTGCATTTACTTCTCCAAAAGGTTCGGCATTATGAAAAATACATCATGCTTTTGTTCCTTATCCTCGTAAATAAAAACCTGTCGAGTCCGTGTAGCAGGTTCATTACACGACGGCGAGGAACAAAATCCGTTAGTATCTGTATCGTTGGAAAGCGCTAGGTCAACAGCCGCCCATTGCCGTTGATGAGCAAGTGACTTAGAAGTCGTGCTTTAAGGAGGAAGTATCACCGGTTAGTAGTATGAACCTCCGAATAAAATTCATAGTCTTAGGGTTTTTGAGCTTTGTTGATTTGATGAATATTGATATCTTTTTAAAAGTCAAGACTATATCTTTTTCACAGTCTGAGGGCTTCTGCCTGTAGTATGTCTACACATTAATTGCAGTTATAAATACAAGTAAAGTTGTAGTGGGAATATTACACTCCTTTTTATATGAACATTGTAGAATGAACCTCCGAATAAAATTCATAGTCTTAGGGTTTTTGAGCTTTGTTGATTTGATGAATATTGATATCTTTTTAAAAGTCAAGACTATATCTTTTTCACAGTCTGAGGGCTTCTGCCTGTAGTACGCCTACAAATTAATTGAAGTTATAAATTCAAGTAAAGTTGTAGTGGGAATATTACACTCCTTTTTATATGAACATTGTAGATTCTCTGGTGTCTTGGGTAAACAATCGTTAATGCATGCTTATCATTTTTCAGAATCGATGACTCTGAAATTCTAGGAACATTGAATACTTGGCGATTATTTTACATATTTATATGAACTTGTATATCTACCATCGCTTAATGTCAGCAAAGCGATTTATTTAAAAAAACTGCTTAGTACGAGGGATGTCTTTTCAGTTTTGCATATGGAAATAAAACAACACGGTAGGTAGTTTTAAATGACTTTATTGTTTTTCGAAGTATTCTCCACGAAGATTAGTACACATCTGCATGCACTCGAACCAATTTTCGAAGCACTTATTCCACTCGTTTGCTGGCAGATCCAAAACGGCATTTTTGAATTCGTCAACTGCTTCTTCTGGTGACTGGAACCTTTGACCACGCAGTCTGTTTTTAATTTTCGGGAAAGTAAAGAAATCGTTAGGACTTAGATCGGGACTGTATGGAGGATGGTCCAATTTCCACGTTTTCTTCCATTAAATACTGCCTTGTTTTTTGGGCTGTGTGCGAGCTTGCATTGTCTTCGTGGAGGATGATTCTTCTTTCGGGGTTGATTTTTCGAAGCTCGGTGATGACTTTTGGCAAGCAAATGGTGGTATACCAATCCGCAGTAACAGCTCTTTGCGCATTAAGAGGAATTGTTGCAATATGACCCGCTTTTGACACAAATGTCGCGACCATCGTTTTCGAAACTCTTCGAGAACGGATGACTTTTGTTGGCTTTTCTTCACCTAGGAACACCCAAACAGCCGACTGTCGTTTATTTTCTGGTTCATAACAGTAAATCCACGATTCATCACCAATAACAAAGCTGTACACATTTTTTGAGTTTCCGGAATTGAAACGGTCAAGCGTTTTTTGACACCAATTAACCCTGGCTTATTTCTGCTCTTCAGTCAACAGGTGGGGTATCCACCAACGAGAAACTAATTTTCTTACTCCTAATTCTTCATGTAAAATTTTTTGAATTGAGGTCTTTGAGATCTTCAAGGACGCCTCAATCTAGCTGTGTCACATGTCTATCTTCAATGATGAGTTTACGCACAGCATCGACGTTTTCCTGGGTGACTGCCGTTTTTGGTGCACCCCCAGGGTGGGCTAAGATTCACCCGTCCAGGTTTGAATTCTCCATACCAACGGGAAATTGTCGACTGATGTGACGCTTCGGTGCCGATAACAGACAGTAACTCAGCAAGGCATTCTTGTTGCGATAATTGTTTCTGAAAGTTGTAATAAAATATGGCGCGAAAATGTTCTCGGTTGAGTTCCATTTTTCTAATGACTTGGTGACACTTAAAATTCACTGTAGTGAGAACACGTATTGTTGTGAAACTTTGAATATAAGTTTACTAAAGAGTGAGGTTAAGATTCAGTACTGACGTTCGATCCGCGCGGCTTACTACGTTTCTATATGCAAAACTTAAAAGAGATCCCTCGTATGTGACTCAGATTTGCCACAATTTAGATGCATTGCTTCTGGGGTGATTTTGTCAATTTGGAGGTTCAAATAAAATACTTGAAAGATATTTTTTCATATACCAGTGAAGGCAGCATACTAGGGCTAGGGTACCGCGACAGCTTGACGCGAGTAAGTACCGGGTAGAAAACTTGTTTCATCTTTTCTTATCAAAAGCTTAATTGGGACTCAATATAGTCTTATCGTACGAGATACCGAAAATGATGGGAACAGCGATGCTTGACATTGATAATATATTTATTCAACACGATACGCGACACTCATGAGTAATCTGGTTTAACGACAATTTAAACGATTGTTTCCAAGTAGTGATTCATGTTCATGAGGTAGTATCAATATGTGCATCTGATTAGACGCTGAACTGTCTGCATACTAATTGTAATGTTTATACTTGCGAGAAGTACAGCTACTTCCATAGAAAAAGTTTTGGCAATAGTCAGTCTTTTCGAAGTGTTCTTGCACCTTTTTACTTTCCACACCAATTTGTGAAAATAAATTTTCAAAAATCTCGAAAACGAGATGTTTTTGGATGTTACGTGACACATATCACGAAAAACCATGAGGCTCATTTCCGTCTGTCTGTTTGCTTTTGTGGCGCCTCTATAACTGTTGAAATTTTGCCAAGGAAGGAAACATTTTGAAGGTTTTAAAATCTATTCAGTGGCGGCGGAGCTAAGGGCAGAAAGCGAATAAAATAAAAATTGCTCTAACTTCATTTTCTGTTTGAGTGACGCCTCATTATCAAAAATTTTTCAGATGATATGTGGAATCCACTTATAATAAACTTGCTTATAATGGAAACCCGTATAGACTCGCTTAAAATAGACCCTCGCTTATAGCGGACTATTTTAATCCTTTATACGCGAGCTATTTTGGTAGTTCCCCGAAGGAGATTTAGCTGATGCAATAGTTTACGGCGGTTTGGCTTCGCAGTTTGTATTCGAACTTGGCCACCAGTGTTATACTGTATTTATTAGAATTATAAACATGTGGAAAATTGCGAAACGTGCATCCACTTTACACGAAAAGTTTACAATAATTAGTGAGCTTGAGCGGGGTTCATCTCAAGCAAATACATGTGCTCGTATGGCTATCAAAAAATCCACTGCGTCAAATATTTGGAAAAACCGTGACAGACTGATGACATGCTATTTAAATGGTTTCAACAAAAGCGTGCTAATAATTTTCCAATAAGTGGACCTATGCTACAAATAAATTCTGAAGAATTTGGGAAATTGATTGGAGATTACTTCAAATGTAGTTCCAGTTGGCTAGACAGGTTTAAGAAAAGACATAACATTGTTTTTGGAAAAATGTGTGGTGAGTCAGTTTGAGTTGACAAGAACGTTACCAATGACTGGATTTCTCCAGTTTGACCCGTAATATCCAGTGGTTATTCAGATGATTACATATTCAATGTGGATGAAACCGCCGAGTCCTTTATGAGCGGGTTGCACTGTATTTTGATTTTTGTCCTGTTGTTCCCATTTACTACAAAATTGCTCATTAACAATACTATTTACGCGAAATACTCTTATGCCAGGTCCACATCAAAGCAACATAACAAAAATAAGGAACAAAACAGAAACGCACAAATATGGAACTTTTTGGAAACAAAACAAAATTTATGTCCACATTGCCGAGAGACAAAAAAGGTTTCAGTTGTTTTGTTTGGTGCAATTCACACCCAAAATTTTCAGAGTGAAAATAAGCGCAAAGAGTTTATCATAATGTCTGCTGGTTATATGTTTCTCCAGAGTTGTGACTGGGAAAATAAAAAACGCTTTTGGGTGAAACCATCCTTACGTGAAAGAGATGATCGTGGTATTGAAAAATTATTGTCCGATTTGCGTAAAGATGATATTGGATTGCGAGGAGAAATGCGTTCTAGTTTCAAGAACTTTTTAAGAATGTCCAGTGAAAACTTTGAAGAATTGATACAGCTGATCGGTCTTGAAATTTATAAAAAAATACAAATTTCAAAAATGCCATTGAAGTAGTTGAACGTTTGGCCGTAAAACTAAGTTATAGGATACTCCCTATATAATTCAATTAATTCACTCGTGTTATCTACACTCCACTTTCATTCTTCACCCGACGTACTGCGCATTTCAATTTAATACCAGTTTCTGTTTTATATTTGTTTCGCAACAAAGTACACATTTCACCGACAATGTTGCCTGAAATACAAACAAAACACGAATTGTTGACGAAATGTTGTCGATTTGTTGCTTAATTGTTGAAAAACATTGAGTTGCTGTTTTGTTTCTGTTTTGTTGGTTTGGTGTGGACGCGGCATTAGACCCACAGGGTTAAACTATACCGGAATTTCATTGAACGTATTTCTGGTTAGGTGTGTATAAAACATCAGAGTGATTCTTATAGTTTCACATTGATGATACCTTTTTTCGATCGCATTCGAGGCGTTTGAATAGATCATTTTTTGTTATAACGCATGCGCGTAGCTAAGATTTTTCTAAAAGCTGACTCTTTCGCTTTAACAGCTAATACTACATACTATATCACGTTATTCGAACCAAAACAAAAAATCTAGTAGAAATCTCTTCCAAGTAGGTTGACTATATCTCATGGAATTGCATTGG